GATAGATAGATAGATAGATAGATAGATAGATAGATAGATAGATAGATGAGAGAGAGAGAGGCGATAGATAGATAGATAGATAGATAGATAGATAGATAGATAGATAGATAGATAGATAGACAGATAGATGATAGATAGATAGATTAGATAGATAGATAGATAGATAGACAGACAGACAGACAGACAGACAGACAGACAGACAGATAGATAGATGATAGATAGATAGATTAGATAGATAGATTAGATTAGATAGATAGATAGATAGATTAAATACAGACAGAATAGCAGTTCTATACCACTTCACAGTGCTTTTTCAGCCCTCTCTAAGCGGTTTACAGAGTAAACCTCTTGCCCACAACAATCTGGGTCCTCATTTTACCTGGCCGAAATGGTACCAGATCTTCTGCTGGAGCAGAGGGTTGGACTAGTCCAGGGGTCGCCAACCTTTTGGACCTCAGGGACCACCAAACTCATAATTTTAGATCCCAGGAACCACTAGCCGGTTCTGTGGGTGTGGCCTAATTTGTGGGTGTGGCTTGGTGGTCATGTGACTGGCTGGGCATGGCTTGTATGTAAATATTATAAATATTTATGTAAATATTGAATTTTTTATAAAAAAAGAGCAACTTTTACCCAAAATCAGGCAAAGCAGGCAGATTGAGTTGCTCACAGATTCATTCAGTGATCTGTCTATCAGCCATCGGTTAGCTCAGTCTCTCAAATTTGCTTGCAGTGAGTCTGCACTGAATTTGCTTGCAAGCAAACCTTCAGTCCTAAGGGAGGTTCAACTGTGCTTAGCTAGAAAGCAAGAAACCCAACCATTTCCTGCTTCCTAGCTAATCTAAATCTCCTGGCACAGCAGAACAGATGATGGTCAGAAAAGGGAAAAATAGCAATTTAGCAGACAAGTTTACCAGGTAAGGAGTGAGTTGGCCGGGAGGGTTCCCACGGGCCATGTGGGCGGCACAGCCTTGTGTTCCTGCGCAGCCTGGATTAATTGCTTTGGGGGGAGGAGCCTGGATTAATTGCTTTGGGGGGAGGAGCCTGGATTAATTGCTTTGGGGGGAGGAGCCTGGATTAATTGCTTTGGGGGGAGGAGCCTGGATTAATTGCTTTGGGGGGAGGTGCTCTGGAGGTGAGATTTCTCTACGGCCCACCAAAATTTTCTCATGGCCCCCCGGTGGGCTGAGGCCCACTGATGGGCGACCGCTGAACTAGAAGACCCCTTAAGGTCCCTTCCAGCTCT